ATACGGCCAGCAGTGAAGGACCACGTCTTAGTTCCATAGGTCATCACTGGCAACACGCACTGGTTGCATAGTCTCGTTATCAGGTTTTGAGGTATAGATAGCTAAAGAGAAGATGTGTCGTAATTTCCCGAACGCTGCCCAGCCGAGTTGAATCCGTCGATTGACCTCCTAGGTCGAAGTTGGGCCTACTTAGTCGGACTATTTGTTGCAGGTAAACATACTCGTCAACAACTTCGGGCATAGTGCTCCCAACAACTACCGGCATAGCTGTAACATGGACATTAAACATGATCTTGTTCATCTTAAGACCTATCCGTTTGGAGACACTATTCAGGTCATTGAGCATGCATAGGTCCTCCAAAGATCCTGCTATAAGGACTATATCGTCGGCAAATCGAAGGTGAGTGATGTACTCGCCATTGATGTTAATACCTCATCCTTTCCAGTCCAGTAGCTTGAAAACGTCTTCCAATGCAGCGGTGCAGTTTCGGGGAAATGACGTCACCCTGTCTTACAACTCTCTGCAGTTGGATAGGTTTCGTACTCTGGTTCTGTACTCGGATAGCCATCGTAGCCCTACTCCACATAGCACCGCTGAACGGACTGTAGCACAGCCCAAATTTCGAAAGAATCAAAGGCTTTCTCATAGTCCTTATACGCCAAACAAAGTGGCAGATTTTACTCTTCGGACTTCTGTACAATTTGACGAAGGGTATGTATGTGGTCTATGGTGATAGTCTTTTCGAAAACCGGCTTGTTCGGCAGGCTGGAAGTCGTCGAGTCTGCGTGCGAGACGATTCGTAATGACTCTAGAAAGCAGCACGTAGACGCGGCTCAGAAGGGATATCTGTCTGTAGTTCTTCAAGAGAGTGTTGTCACCTTTTTTGAAAAACAAGATCACCGCACTTCCGCTCTATCAGTTTTCCACCCGCTTTCAGAAGCTCCACCGTAATTCCATCCTCGCCCGGGGACTTGTCGTTTTAAGGTACTGGTGAGCCATTCTAGTCTCACTCAGACTGACGTCCGGGATATCATCGGAATAGTGTCGGATAAGACTTGTTCTTGGATCGCTACTCACACTTGCATGTGGCTCCGATAATAACGTGTACAGCTCCATAGAACCTCTCAATCTCACTTAGAATCTCAGGTGTCCCAGAAACGATACTGCCCACACTCGGTCTTTAGCTTCGACAGTTGGCTCTTTCTGACAGACAGATCCCTGGCAAAGACTTTGGATTCTTGGTTCTGCTCGATCGCTTCTTCAATACGAGCCGTACTGATGTTGCGTAAGTCCCGCCACATGTATTTGGAGATCTGTCTGTTAAGTTACCAGTATTGTGCCAAATCTGCTGAAGACTGCAGCCTCTTCTCCCGTCTAACAGCCATGAGATTAAGAGTGTGATCGGAGAGTTTTTGTTCTTCTGCGGTGGGTCTTGTAGAATTTAGCTCCGACCGGATGGACAGTTACCACGAGCTTATCATTCATATCGTCCACTGCATTGTAATCTTCGAGGCACTGATAACGGTTTTGTAACTCGAGGTGAAAGGTTTCGAGACGCCTCAAACCATTCGGTGATCGCTGCCAGTTTTCACCCCCGCGATCACTAAGACATCACTGAACAGTTTGCGTCTGGTCGTCATAATGAAGTCACTCTCATTTTATTGTCGAATCAGCGGATCTCGACCAGGTCCACTTCCTGTGGGGCCGCTTCTGGAAGAAAGAGTTCATCATAAAGAGTTCCTCTTTCTCTATGAAGTCGGCCAGCTGCTGGCCCCTTGGGTTCCGTTGCCCTATTCCAAATTTCCCTAACTTCAGCTCACCACTTTCTCTTGTGCCTAGTTTTGCGTTGAAGTCTCCCATCAACACCGTATAGTGGGTTTGGAAGAATGCATAGCTCTAGAGATATCCTCATACATTTCCTCCACCTGTGCCGAGGTTGGTGCGTAGACCTGTATGACCTTCAGCTAATACCGTTTGGGGATTTTGAGTATCAGGTACGCGACCCTCATCGACACACTCTCAATCTTTACAACGTTGTTAACGAGAGACTTGTGGACAATAAATCCGACACCTCCTTGGAACAGATGGTCGCCCTCCCGGTGATAGAAAAAGTTGCCGGAATCGAGGATTACCGTGTCTTCGGACCTCAGATAATCTTATTATATGCCAGCGCAACTTGCTTACATCTTCTTCCAGCAACAGTATCTTCTCGTCAATCCTCAGGATGCGTGGGTTATATGTTGCCAGGTCATGTCGTCGTAGGTGGCAACCGGACCTCCACCGGAGATTCTTAGCACTCTCTGCCCTGCCGTTACCATTGTCGCCACCGTAGCCAGGAATAGCGGGGCCGACGGGGACTGGGGCCGTTTTTTTGTGTCGTTCCTCATCGGGGGATGTTTGCCATAGTTGCCACGCTTGGCGAGCGGATTGGCAACAGCAGTTTTTTTATTGTATTGGTGTTGTTATCAGGAAGATGCTGCCCATCATGATCATCGAGTCGCGCCTGGACTGCGTTCGTCGCCGGTCGTCGTCCGCCGGTCGTCGGCTCCCGCCTGGAAGGGAGTACGTCGCGTCACTTAGCAGCGGGTGTACGTGTCGTGTTGGAGCGAGCTTCGCTTCACGACGAGATTAGTCTCCGGGAAGCTTCAAGATCGCCCCTGATTCCTCCTGAGATGATATAACCTCACCGCTACCATAACCTATATGCTGGGAAGAGAGCACCGGAGGCCAGCATGCTGCTGTCAGGAAAGCGCACACCTATCGGTGACATTGGTCCTACGTTGAGATCCGTCTCCTTGGAACTTTGTAAGTCGCTGACCCTTCGGTAGATCCCTTCCCAGAGGTGCGAGATACGCCACAAATGCCTAGATGGCCATAATCTACATACTGAGAAGGAGCACCTGAGGCCCGGCGTGTTGCTGTTCAGGAGAGCGCACATCTGTTGGTGGCATCGGCTCTACGTCGAGATCCGTCTACGTATGGCTTTGAGACCGCTGACCCTTAGGTAGATCCTTCCCAGGGACGCGAAATAAGCCAAAGCTAAGATAGCCAACAATGCCGTTCCTGATCGGCTCCCAAGACCGGCACATTATAATGTGGCGTGAGGATTACCGGGGTAAGGGGGAAATGGGGAATGCCCCGAAGCCCGAGACCTGCTGTGCAGAAAGCCCACGCAGAAGACAACGATCAATCGCGATTTATTCGACTTTAACATCACGTGTTCGATCTCGATTCTCGACTTAATATCTCCGGTTCGATCTCACCTACCTTATAGTGAGAGTTATCACATTTCTCAAGCCTTTCAAGGGCAATAGCTTTTTTATTTCCAGTGTCCACTCTATAAGTTAGGAAAAGTGAAGTTATTATACAGTCCACATATTTGGTGTATAGACCGGGACCAAACATGGGACTCGTAATCTCAGGCATCAACCATCTTTTTAAGACAAGGCGTGTGTGTTTCTGGAACAGACGTTATCTAAGGCAACGCCCATTGCGTTGATTGGAACCAAACGTAGTGTGGCTTACGCAAGGGGTTAGATCGACGAGTTAGGAACTAGAAGACTCGTTGGATTACTCCAGTGGGACCCCGTTCTTGTTTAATGGTTCTCTGGAGTGTAGGATCACTGATTCAGAAAAACTATGATCTTTTCAATAATAAATAGTTACATTATATATTTTAATGCAACCTTCTTACCGTGTGCTGGTAATATTATAAATATAAATGGACATATTATATCTTACTCATCTTGGTTTTAATTATATTACTTTAATGGTATTTGGAATTTACACTCGCAATCAATCAACAAAATAGAATCCATACGATATTTATGCACAGAGAGGCACTATAATTTGCCGCAACTAGTGAAAAGATTTTCCATCGATCTTAAAATATTTATAAATACTGAATATAGCGACAACTTTATTTTATCCGTACTATAATTATTCAACAGTGCACTATTTTAAATTATAACACAGGTGAAAACTACTAGAAAATCGCTTTTAGTTTGTGTTTAGGTTATTGTTAGATTCCTATTTTAATTTTTAATTTCTCAGTACTCCGTTTAGATACAGTAAAATTAATATTACTATTGTAATCTATAGATTATAAGGAATAAATCGAAATGCATTTCATTTAAAATCCTTAAAATGTGTGGTGGGCCCATTCTCCATACAAAAATAAAATAAATTATCTACTTTAATTATGAAGTGTATTCACATTCGAATATAGAATTTTATCAAAAAAAAAATGATGGAAAAATAAGCATGGCCGTTAAATGAATTCAATTTAACTTAGTAAAGGCCTGTATTCGCTTTGATTAGTGAAGGTGCTTAGAGATTAGGAGTAAATACGTGTGGATTGCGATTGATTAGTGCAAATAATGAGTAATCTGCGTAGTAAAGTGATTAGAAGCGTGTTCTACTTTTATTGCGAGTGGACTGCGAGTATCCCCGTTCCGTGCGTCCTCCCTTCCCCCTCACTCGCAGTATGTCTGCTACTAAACACGTCTGGACAGCAGCGTTTAGTGTTTAGCGTTTAGCGTCGGACTTTCGCTTGTTTTGCAAAAATGGCAAAGGTTGGAAGTAAAAAAGTTTATACTAAAATGAGAAACGAGGTGCGTCCATACTAGCTGGTCAACGGCTAACAACTGAATTTACTAAACATAGCCACTAAACAGAATTGGACTCCACTTACACTACAAACCTGCACTAATCACCTGCAATCGCACTAATCAAAGTGAATACAGGCCATATTACTATGACACTAATTCACCATTATAGATATTATATCTTTGGAAAACAGCACTTAAGATTAGTGAAATAAGTACTATAAAACATCCTCGCAACAACCGCAAGTACTGTTTATCAGACTCAGTGAAGTGCACTAGCACAAGGTCGACCGCCCCCTACCACGCAGGACCTGCACCGTTGCTTTGCACGAGCATATTCGTGTTGCAACTGTAAGGTGTTTAAACTGTGATAACGGTGTGTGTTGGCGTACGTGCGTCGGCGTCGAGCGGGCGGCGCAGCGCACGCGCAGCCAAGTGTGGCGCCACGCGGCCCAGTGCCGCGCCGCCCAGCGCCAGCCCAGTGCCGCTTATGAGATTCTGACCGCCTAGTGCTAGGCTCTGCGGGGCTACACCTGGAATATTATGACACACCTAACGTTATGCCGCGGCCACACACGTCGCGATGTGTGTGGCCTAGGCATTACAAATACATCAAACCGGTCACGGTTAATCGGTATCATGAGAGCAGCGGTGTACGATCGACGTACTGCTGCTTTACTACTACTGCTACTACCACTCCCTTTTATAGGCTGCAGTGAATGGATGGATAGTTTTGAGTTAGCTTTTTGGGGCAGTTATACTCCACTTGGAAAAAGTTTAGCCGGCGGTTTAAATATGATACCATGTTTATAATATGGTGCTGAGTCATTCCTAACGTTTATATTATTTCATTTATTATATTCATAACAGTCAATCTAAAGTCCACCTGCTAACACCTGCTTGCACCTGATAAAGGGCTCCCTCATAGGTTCACTTATTGCTGTTAGCTTTTACAGCTCCATAATTCTCAGGGCCAGCGGCCTGTAAAAATGTGAACTTAAATCATTCCGCATCGTTATTTCCATAACGATGACTCCTATGACAGTGTACACAGCACGTGGATGAGTTATCTAACGGCCGTCTGAACAGGGGGTGGCGTGTCCACGGACGGCTAACTCGTGTCGTTTGATGTTCTGTGCAGTGAGAGAGCCGCCCAGCGACGCGGGTGTACGGTGTGTACGCGGTGTGGAGTGTGCGGCGCGCCCGTCTGCGGACTCGCTGTGTCGCATCCGTTGTCCAAACAGTGTTTGTGGCGACTTATTCAGGAGTTATTTACCATAATTATAACACTTCGCAAGCAGGTGAAGCATCCGCAGTTTTTATTAGGTATTTTGATTTTTTTATATATATACTGTTCCTAATTCCCTAGTTATGTTCCCCTCTGTCGCCTCTTACCACACTCACGAGATAATATGAGATTGTACATATTCTTATAACGCAAATACTACATGGTAAACCAAAACACTAAAAATTCACACATAAATGAAACACTTTTAAAGTAATCATTCACATCTTGACATTTAATTAAGACACCGTTTTATGATTAGAAAGGATAATGAGAGTTACAAAATCAAAGTACCTAAATTCTGTCCAAGATTCTGCCCCATGATGTTCTGATTGAGAGCAAGGTTCTGCGCGGCGAGCCCTATATTTTGATGCTGTAGCAGAGGAGTACCCAATCCTCCCTGCAGTGGAGCTCCAAGTCCCAACCCCAGTCCAAAGCCAGCACCAATAGCCTGCCCACTCAGTTGCGATACAGAGTTTTGTAATGCTTGCTGTTGAACTGTGAAAATAGAAAGATAATTAATAGTTGAAACTTAAGCAATAAAATGCAATCATATCAAATTATCACACTATGTAACATCAAAATCAATTTTTTTATCCAATTTAGGCCTGTTTGAAGCTTTATTGGATTTAAAAATGTGTACTGCAGAGTATATCAGATTAATAATATGAATGATTATTCTAGTAAAATAATTGATTTTTAAATCTTGGTAATCTGTTTTTGATTCATGATTAATTAATATCTAATCTAATAATTAATCTTTTGAGGGACGCCTATGTTCAGCAGTGGACTTGTGACGGGCTGTAGTAATAATGATGATGATAAATAAACATTGGTATAAGTAATAAAACTATGTGGTAAAAAGGGAATAATAAAAACCATGATGTATATAAACATCCAATGTGCAAGGCGTATGGCTCGCACTGTAATCGTCAATCTACCTGCCAAGCGTGAATATTAAGGCCAATCCTTCTACAAGAAGAAAGTATACAGACCGTTGAAGTAATATAATTGGTGATGTATAGTTTATGATTCTTCGTAGTAAAGTCCACCAGTGACAGTTCCATATTACAAATCTTAAATTCCAAATGGCCTACTAATAATCCTTTATTAATTTTTTTGAAAGATATCCCTTCAAACTTTTTAATTTTTCAGTTAGTAGCATAAAGTTACCTATAAAGTCGTTTGCTGTGGCCAACATGGGCTGGTAGTACCTCTGCGGCTGGTAGTGAGGGGGCAATCGCGTTGACGTCACACCGCCCGCTGAGCACAAATGTTAGTCACTGACATAAGCACGCGACATTCAAAGCTCTATTACGCTATACATAAATAATATAAATAAGTTATTTAAATCATATAAATTTTATTTGTGCCAAAATATTAAACTACTACTACAAATACATTTACATATTATACTATTAGAAATCTTAATTGTGAATGCACTAAGCCACATTATATAACAAGATAATACAATTAAGTAAAATACAAGATAAAATAGACATATTCCTCCTAATAAAGAATAATTTTAACGTGGTAGAGCCACGCTGCAGGTTTATTAAGGTTGTAGCACGAATAGGTCGGCTCGATTGGATGGCGGGAGCGACCGCCCAGTCTCTAACAGAATACCAGCGTGCAGTTTCGTGCAGTGAGTGTGAGAACCGGAGACCTTTTTAACTGGAAACGAGACATACCACCACAGTCCTCAGGGATGACAACACATCTCCATTTTATATCTAAATTGAAGACAAATGTAGATATCTATGGGCCATAGCATCTACTTACCATCAGGTGGACTATGTACACGTTTGGGATATTCTATAAAAAAAATACATTTTAGTTCGCATTTTTCAGCGTGACTCTTTTCATGAAATAGATTCTTGTTTAAATATGAGACTAATTATAAATTACTTCCTTTTTTGGCCTGTGCCAAAAACATGTATGCTGTGGTGGCACTACTTTTGTGTTAAATGTTAGATTATATTAGTAATAAATAACATAAAATTTTATTATGACAACATATAAAAGCTTGATTTTAGCAAGAAACTACGTTTATGTTAAATTATTTTAAACTGAATCTAAATAACAAACAATTAAAGCGATATAAAGGAATTTAGTGTTGAGAAAAATTAAACAGAATAGTTAAATGTTTTGACGCTCGAGATATTTACTTTAATAAGAACTAAACTTGTGTCAAAAAGTATTGTAATATAAATCTTTGTTTCATTTAATCTTCAACTTATTTCGCTATATAAAAGGTTGATAAAATCAAGTTTATTTTTAACCCCCGACGCAACGACATTGTTCAGTCATTTGAAGATCATCACCTCTTTTATAGTTGATCAGCTGATGATATCCGCGACTTCGTCCGCGTTGCTTGATATATTAACAAAGAAAACACAGATCACTGAATACGTAGTGCTTACAAAAATCGTTCTTTTTTTAAACTTTTAATAACGCACAACTGCAAACCTTTATCATTTTATTTGTATAGAACATGAGAGGATGGGAGCAACTTCCACAGGTTTATTGATTCGAAATTTTACTTCAATGATATTGCAAGAATATGGTAAACTTTGACCTGATGCTGACAACATCACCTGGAATCTTCAGGATACCTAACTCCTCACCAACTTACAGCAGAGTAATCTTGTTTGGACTTATTGAATGGTCTCAATAATAATTTCTTATATTTACGCGAACACTACACATTGAAATAATACTAGTTTTTACGGAATTTATCGCATATATTTAACTTTTTAAATACCCGACGTTTCGAACGCACCCATGGTCACGGGCGGGACGGGACAGTCCAGTATTGAAACACAGTATTTAAAGACAGGACAGATTTAAAAAGTTAAATATACGCGATAAATTCCGTAAAAACTAGTATTATTTCAATGGTCTCAATAATAATCGAGCAAGCGAGATAAATGAGAATAAATTTTGAAACATTGGTGAGGGAAAAAATTTTTAAAAATTTGTTATATGATCAAATATCGTTTTTATTAATGTAAGTGAATAAAATAATAAATGAGTGAATCGAATTGCGCGATTTTAGAATATCTGGTTGTCAGGGGTAATTTAATTTTTATTGTTATTTACATTTAAAACAATCATTTGCACACTCTATATTTTAAAACTTTATATTTTATTTCAGAAAAATATTCTTCCTACAAAATGACAAGTTATAATCCGTGTACATTATTGAGGTCAAATGAAGACCAAGAAGATAACCAGCAAAGGCACAAACATATTAAGCTATATCATATGATGCAGTAATGATAATAATCATTTTACTAAATACCTGGTGGAACGTTGGTGAGTAGATGGCTGTGTAGAGCGAGGTCAGGCTGAGGGAATTGCTGCTGGTTGAGAAGGCCCAGGAGGTTAGGACCAGTTAGGTTTTGTTGCTGACTGAAAATATAACATAGTAAACATCATTACCAGTCAGCTGGAGACTAACGCTGTACAAAATGCTCTCTTATAACTTATAACAACACAAACAGTTGGACAGTTTTAGCCTATGTTAAAAGCATAATTCATAAACGCCACATTTGGTAGGCGATTGGGCTATGACAACAGTCGCATTTTAACTTAGAATCTGCTGAGTATTACCCAGCGTGGCTATTTTTTGTCATGCAATTTTTTAGAATATTTAACGTATCCATGATATGTCAAGTATTATATCTTCCTGCCATTCACTAGGTAACTCTTAGCCCTGCAGCTACGTAGCTTATTTTTTCTTATTTTTATCCTTATTTTCGCTAGAGTGATAACTTTACGTTTACATTACATTTAGGTGTACAAGAAAGACACTTTGCTAAGACTAATTAGCTAGGTAAGATGTTTAATCAGTTAGCCTCTGAGCTGAAAGTGTGAATTCGGAAGGGCCAGTTTAGCTGAACGAAGTCGAAAACCATGCTAGTTCAGGTAAACTTGGTTAAAGCGTCAATCATGCTTATGCACATACCCTTTTTCTAAAAGTGTGTTAAATAACAGAATATTTTTAGTTATAGTGTCACTCAATAGCGTTGGTGAAGACCGTATGACAATAATTAAAGGCAGTGTCTTATCAATAAGAAAGCAGACATGATAGCTAACGCACACATATAATCAAGATTTCAGCTAGACATTAATAACGTAAAGCGGTTCCTGACAGTACTAATAAAAACATAGAAAGGAATTTTTAAGCGCAAATTTAGTTGTTATTAAGCTTTATATAAGGTTTTTTTATGTATCAAAAATGTAAAAAAAAAAACTATATATTAACTCACTTCATTATATTTTGCTTCAACAGCATCCTCTGAATGTTTTCAGCGTTGGGGAGCGTATCACTTAGTCCAGGAGTGGGTGTAAGTGTGGGCTGCGCGAAAGGGAGCCTTGTTAGCCCCATGGGATCCCCCAATGTTGAACCTACTGCACCTAATCCCATGCTTAGACCCAGTTCCCCGCTCACTCCCAAAGGAGTTCCCACTTGACTCAACCCTAACAGTGGGGTATCTGTAGCTATTTGTAACGGCGTACTTAAATTCGTCAAATTGGTCTGTAGAGACCCACTTAGCAGATTAGGGTTGACTATATTGTTCTGGAAAGGTAAAACTTGTGGCATTGTCGACTGTATATTGGTTGTAATAGGAGCTGTTATTGGTGTCACAGTGCTTTGTGGCATTGGCACACTAATAGGAATCTCTGGTTTCGTATCTATGGGCCGATGCTCGGCCATAGTTTGAGGTGCGTGAGTTATCTGTGAAGCTACTGAATACTGTTGGTTAGGAACATAATTTTCTTGAGGAATGACTTGTGAGACAGGTTGTACTGGTGGTGGCTGAGGTTCTTGCTCCGTAAGACCGTTGACTTGAGAGTCGAGTTTGCGTGGTTCTTTGGCGACTTCGGAGTAAAGTTTTGGCTCTACCGGTTTCTCTGACTCAATGGCCGTCTTCTCTTCGGATGCTTCCTCACCGCGGTCAACGACGGGACTGACTAGAAATCTTGATATCTTACGAGTGGGTTTTTGTGTTTTTTTCTCGCCATTCTGTGACTCTGAGCTCCCTGAGCGATCAGGTGCTATCGATCCGCCGTCGGATTGATTAGAACCTGGAAATTGTAAAAATATATATAAGAAAATATTACAAGTAAATAAATATTGCAAGAAAATATTATAAGTTAAGAGCGCATATTCAAATATGTCCAAGTCGAAATCAACGCGTTCGCTTTGGAACGGCGTAATATTGACGCAACTACAATGTTATCTCTGTGTGCGTGTCAGGGCGAGCGTGAGGCTATAATAGTTGCCTAACGACGACTACGAATCACTTTGATCTTTGATTATATACCTGTCTTTGATACTATTGGAACTAAAATAATAATAAAAAATAATTTCCATATAATGGCTTATATATAGTGTATAGAAATCGGAGGCTAATATGTGGTCTAGCAAGTAAAATTTCGGGACGGAAGGTAAAAATAATCGGGGATTTGGTTTTCATATCCGGACAACTACAATGACTACAAAATATAGGTTTCTTTGCAGCCTTTTTGTGCTTTATTGAGAGCCGTAGCTCAGATGGTCAACGCTCACTGTAAATATCACAGTATGCGAGTAATGCGAGAAATTGTGACTGTAACTTTACTTTACTTTTGTGCTTTATAATTATTATTCGGGTCTGATCCCATAAACGAATAACTTTTCATCCAAACATCATAAAAACCGAATTTTTTCATTTTAGGCAAATTAAAACATTTTTGAATTATTTATCTTTTTTTTTTTGCAGTCCCTGAATTTTTCAAACCACTCATTTTAATATAATTCTGTTTAAAACTTTTGTGGTTTTTTTTCGACTGGTGAGACAATGTCGTAGTAAAAACATTTTAATGTGGTAGTAGCTAACAGATGTAATCATTTTTGCTGTCAAAATTATGGAATTTTGTTCCATGTGGGATTCGAACCCGCGGCGCTCAGCGCTACAACACATTACCAAGTCACTCCGCCACGGAGCCAAAGGTGAAAGCCAACGATTTTTTATTTTTACTTGATCCGAATTGCTCACGTTCATTACTCATTTCTAAAAAAATATGTATGAAATGAAAATTTGACACCATTACATCATTTAAAATATTACAATCATAAACATATTTCAAAATTACTTACTACCAAAAATATCGCTTATAAAAGTCTCAATCTTTTAAAATGCTCGATGATGTTATAGGTATCTAGTTATAGTATAGTGTAGTATAGCCCTATCGGTGTATCAACGCGATCGCGCGGTGTCGGTGAGAAAAAGTAATACGTCCTGTCGTTGGGATTACCCGGAGCGTACTGAATCTGAAAATGGCGTCAGCGCATGATGTTTTATAGTATTTTTAAAATAATTATATAAAATAATTGACAAAATAAAACGAGCTAAATTTTTTTTGGATATTTAACATTACATGTAAAAACAAGTAAAGTAAAGTTACAGCCTATATACGTCCCACTGCTGTGCACAGGCCTCCTCTTATTTCTGAGAGGGTTTTAGGACAAGGAAATGTCCGCCGCGCTGTCCCAGTGCGTGTTGGCGAACTTCACATGTCTTCGAAATATTTTTTTTCTTATTTCTGAGACATGCAGGTTTCCTCACGATGTTTTCCTTCACCGGCGAGCACGTGGTAAATCAGTACTTAAAATTGCAATTAACAATTTCATTGGTGCCGGCGGGGATCAAACCCGGTTTGCTCGCGTATTGTGAAATTTACAGCGAGTGCTATCCATTTGAGCTACCACGGCTATACCACATTACATGTATTTTGATAAAATAATTAAAATAGATATGTTTATAACTAAATAAATGGAAAAAATTACATTGAAGTAGACAGTTTTGGTGATTTTATAATATTATTTTATAATATTAAATCGAAATATTTTCGTAATTTAGATTTTGCTATACACTAAAAGACTATAATATATTCCATTATAATAACGCTTAAAATAAAGTATTTTAGCTTATAATAATGGTTGTATTCAACCTGAAAGATAACTCTGATGCATTTTTTCGTAAAACGCTGTAAAGGGATTGTCTTCGCCCTAAAAAACCGTCATTAAAAACTATGATTTTGCATTGCTATGTACTAAATAAAGACTTCATCTTTCTAAAGCCCTAATTTTTAGCAAATAATCTCCTCACGTCGTTACGATATCGCCTTTGGAAAAACCATAAAACATGTAGTTTGCGACGCGAAACGCATATCCTCCGCCCTCTTAATGTTTAATATTATATTATAATTTCGAAAGAGATAATAAACTGACATACATTACATTTATATAACAACAGTTCTCGAAAAAAAAACATGTGAGCAGTTTCCACACAGTAGTAGTGAAACCTTCAGAAAACTAAATTTTAAGGTAATATTGTTAATAAGTTTAAAAATAATTTTACATTTTATTCTATACATAATATATTACGTTTTCCAAATTTCTCTCAATTTTCGATTCCATCAGCATAAGTACTCAAATATTTTTAACCAACTAATTTCGTCTAAGTCCTTACTGCTCATAGATCACATGCATAGTTTCCATACACAATAAGAAACACTGTATACTAAATTCTATCTCATTCTCCCGTATGCTAAATCCTACAGATGTTTCTTTTTAGTGTCGCTTTTACGTTTTATCGAGTTTAAAATCACAAAGATTAAAAAGAAGTTTTCACTTCTAAAATTGTTACTGGCATTGTTTGTTAACTTTTAATGTTATTACTACATATCTCATTAAATATATCTAATTAAACAGATTGTATAAAATTATCTGAGGAATACCTATTGACGACGCAGTGCTGATCTTCCTTGGGGATACATCAACAGGAACATGCGAAGGCGCGGCGGGCGTCAGGGCGGGAGCGGGGGCGGGGGCTGGGGCGGGGACGGGTGCGGAGGCGGGCGCGGAGGCTAGCGGCGCGGGCTCATCGTCCGCGAACTCGGCCAGTGCGATGCTGTCTTGACTGGCGGTGGGAGTCGTGCACTCGGAGTTGTCCTGATTGGAGTCCGTTAGGTTTTCTTCACGCTCCGTCGTTTCTGAGTCATAGTCAGTCTGCAAAAATATGAAATTAAATGTTATATACCATGTAAAATAAGAATACCACCAGGTGGACTGTGTGCTCGTTTGTTACCCTGTAGGCATCTGTGAGCGTGCAGGTATTTGTGTAAGTGCACGTTACTTTGTGCGTGCGTGCAGGTTTTTGTACACGTGCACGTTACTGCGTGCGTGAGTACTGATTACAGTGTGCGTGCGTGGTTATTTGTGCACATGCACGTCACTGTGTGCGTGCGTGCGTGCTGGTTACGGTGTGCCTGCGTGCAGGTATTAGTATACATGCATGTTACTGTGTCCGTGAGCGAAGGTTACTATGTGCGTGCATGCAAGTATCTGTGTACGTGCACTACAGTGTGCGTGCGTGTGCGTGTGGACGCACCCGGTCGATGTTCAGGCGCAGCGCGGCGTGGTGTGCGGGCCCCAGCACGGGCAGCTGGCCGGGTTCGTTGAGCAACTGCTGCACGATGTCGCGAATCAGCTCCGTGAACGCGCCGCTCTGCACCTCCGGCAGGAGGTTGTTCGACACCTGGCAGATACAACACAACACACACTATTTATTATCACCAGTGGATTAAGGTATTCACCTTGGCCAGCAGAATTTTACCAAGTTTAATCCCAAATCGATTGGAATTTATACTATAATAATTAAAACAAATTACATCCAACCGACTCTAGAATCTAGATCGAACCAGCAAACTTTGAAAAAGAAAAGGGCGACGCGCCGGCAGTGTGTATACTAACACGAACCATTTCAAGTCTTATTCTAACAGCCCGTAACTAAAAAGCTACTAGACACACTCGTTATTTTGCATGTCTAATAAGAATCCCTTGAATTTCTATTGCTATATCTTGGGGGGCCTATGTTCAGCAGTGGACAGTGATTGATGTTTCGATTAGTCTATTAGATTTTAGTTATAAAGGTGCCATATTTATCATTTACTGACTTAATGATTTCTTATATTTACGAGAACACTATACATGATTAAAACTACTTTTACGGATTTTATCGCGTTCATTTTTACTTTTTATTTACATTTATTTTTAATTCCCGACGTTTCGAGCGCTTTCCAGCACCCATGGTCACGGGGGACTGAGATGACTGACGTCCCGATGTCATTGTTAAACCCGGAGTACCTTCAGCTTTTTTTTAGTTATTGTTTATGGTTTTATAGTGTTTATGGTTATTTACTGACTTGCTCAGCAATAACCCATGCCAAATCCAGATTACTTGGACACTTGGTATTTGGCATGAAGGTAGAAAGACGTTATACAAAGTAGAAAATCTAAAACCTACAAATAATTCATATTCGATGTCGACGGGTTATGACAAAATTATTGGTGCTGTTGTTGTACTTGAAACTAACCATTCATAATTTTGGCAACGTTTAGTTCTAATAGTTTTAATTAAAAATATATTATAATGGCTTGTCGAAAATCACAATTTAAAAATGGCTCAACTTTCATTACAATGCATCAAATATATTAATTTTAAGGGAAAAAAACATACAACTATATAAATTTATATCACTAGTACTTTAAAATAATATTTCATTCCACTAGAGTCAATCAAATTCAAGAAATACCTTTAGACGTTTCACATTAATCATTCCGCCATAACTATATACAAGCGCACTCACACGATTTAAAATAACATTTTACGTAAATCGGAAGAATTATGAAGTTATCTATATTTCATTACAATGTGTATAGCTTTTATCACTAATTTAAATTCGAACCTTTCAAACAAAACAAAATATTAAAAAAATAAATCATTAAAATAACCAGTATCAACTTTTTTACTTAACGTCGCTTCAATGATATGTCGCTATGTACTTTACCGTAGTGTTTGGATGATTAAAATTCATTGTTATGCGAATAATCAGCAAAAACATTCAAATAATCGGTAAAAATATTCAAATAATCGAATGATGATTCTAATTTATTCTGGTATTATTCAAACCAAACTGTAAATGATTACCAACTCTAAATAATCGATATCGATTTTTTTAAGAATCGAATATTGTATGTTCCCATTTTTTGGTTGGCATGCTTGATGCAATAAGTCTGACAGCTGTCATAATGTATTTTTTAGATTTGGTTGACTATAATATAATTGTATTATATAATTGAAACTAGATTAAAAATACGTGTGGCACTCGGTGACTGCCGCGGTAAAGCTATTGCATGATTTTTAAGCTTATGCAATTATAATTATTTATTTATTTTATTTATGCAGTTAAGTCTTTGATATTAAATCAAGTTACACTTTTTGAGCGTGGTGACCAATAAGAAAACAATATTTTTCTCTTATTGAATAAATGAGAAGTTAATATTGTTTAAAATATTTTTAATATCTTACAATACATGTAGGTTATTCAGGAATTTTTATCATTGAGTTAGCAGCTAGTGTACACGCACACAAACACCGTGCCGAAGTCTGCCGAGTGCCGAAGTCTGCCGAACTAAAACGACGTTAGACGATGCACGGCTTTCAACGCCACACCTCCGTGCCCGTCGGGGTGGGGATCGTGAGGTTTTTTCGTTACGGAATTTTTGGATTCGGTCCCCGCGCTCAAGGCCCGCGATAGAAGCTATGCAATAGCTTAATAAATTTATTCAATCACTTTCAGTACAACTAGTTAAGCTATCGTTGTTTAAATTAATTATTATTTGATTTTCAATAATGCAATCAAAATTAATGTCTCTTTCAAAGTCATTCATAATCATTTTTTTTGTTTTTTCTACCACTTTTGCCCAATCAATGAAAAAAAATCAATATAGGAGAAACAGCCCAAAAAGTTAAGGCCGAGTCACAAAATAGAAAGACAAACACAAAATCACAAATTTACGCATATCCCGAAATGGCGGGAAATTTAAATCACGTAGTAACTTTTTTAAAAACGGCCTTGTATATTAGTTTTTTTGCCTACAGAAATTTACATTGACAAAGTAAAAAAAAAAACTTGTTTTATTCATGATTAGTTTAACATGTAGTTTAAGGAATTTTAATAATAAAAATTTATTTAAACAAATAATACATTAAAAAATTAATGATTCGATTATTTGAATATTTTTACTAATTATTTGAACATTTTTGCCGATTATTCGCATAACAATGAATTTTTATAATCCAAACACTACGGTAAGGTACATAGAGACATATCATTGAAACGATGTCAAGTAAAAAAAGTAGATACTGGTTATTTTTTTAATATTTTGCTTTGTTTTTGAAAGATTCGAATTTAAATTAGTGATGAAAAACTATACACATTGTAATAAAATATAGATAACTTCATAATTCTTCGGATTTACGTAAAAGGTTATTTTAAATCGTATGAGTATGCTTGTGCAAAGTTATTGTGGAATGATTAATGTGAAACGTCAAAAGGTATTTCTTAGATTTGGTTGACTATAATCAATAAAAAGAACTCACAAGATTACTAGCAATCTCCTCTGGGTTGACATCAGTGACGTCAAATTTGAAGGTGACGGTTTTGAATTTGGACTCGAGCTGACATTCCACCACTGTTGCCGCTTCATTGATCTCCAACACAGTCAGTTTGGGCAGCTTATCTTTTTCTCGTGAACGCTTTTTGGAGCCGCGAGATTTCTTTTCATTTGTGATAGGTGAAGGAACTGCTGTGCCGCTGCTTACTGCAATTAGTGATTTCATATATTACTGACTAATGTCTAACTGATACTAAAATAGAGTGGGACTAGTCAAGTTAACTTTCTATAATCATTAATATTAAGAAAAAACTATAAATATGAATGGAAAAAAATAGGAAAAAACAATATCCTAATATTAATTCCTGATTTAACATCAGACATAGCTAACTCCACAAATGCATTGACCTATTAGTCTGACTACCAGAAATCACAAGTCCTAATTATATCCGATAAACAGGTTCGAATTCCAGACAGAGCCAACGTTTTTGAAAAAACAAATACAATTTTTTAGTATTCAGTTCTGGTTATAATATGTCATTGTCCACTTTTCTGTTCACTTCCCTCTACATTTTTCTAGAAGTATGGGTGATAAACGAACATATCCATCCATCCAGTAGTAAGATGATGTGGCCCACTACACTTACATTATATTATATTCTATTTTTTCATTATATTGTTGCACGCCATAATTAATGCATCTAACGCCAACTAGTGTCGAGTGGCGGAACTAGGAGAGAACTTTCTAGTCGGTCGGGACCGGTATGTGCTCGAGCATTCTAGATGTTTCAGTAGAAAAGTTCCTATATAAGTGGTGTGTATCTTTAGTTGTAATTTGTGTTCGGGAATTAAAGTGTCATTTGGTGTCAGAAGTGGGACAAAATCATGCCGATTTTACCTAAAGACGACAAGGAGGGTATCCGTATCCGAAATAAACGCCTGCAGGAGACGCACCAGAAACGATTTGGTAGTGCAACGCCGCAGACGTCGGAGGGCTAGCTGCCAACCACGGAGGCCGGCCCGTCAGAAGCTCCTGCATCTGTAGCACCTGACTTAGGTGCTCTAATGATAATACTGCAGGAACAGGCCTGTCGGTTGGAAGAGCAGCTACAGCGTGGACAGGAAGAACAGGCCTGTCGACAGGAAGAACAGGCCCGTCGGTTGGAAGAGCAGATGCTCCTCATGAAGAACCTTTACGCTACCTTCGGGAAAGAGATAAGGGAGGTGAAGGATAGGGTTACTCAACAAGAAAACCGCGTGTCGGAAGCTGAAACCCGAATCGACCAATTGAGCAATCGGGTGGACAACGTGATGGCAGACGTGAAGAAAACGCTGGACGACCTCAAACTTGGGGATATAGTGATATTTTGGGCTCAAGTCTCCAGATACAAAAATGCGGTTAGGATGAATGCCTTTCGGGAATTAGTGGACTTAGCTACCACCAACGTGCTGTCTCTTCCACGTTCAAACGTCGAAGTATGGCGGATTTTCGGCGTTATGAACTTGTCAAAAGTATAAAACCTCATCAATAAAACAATTCTAAAGCAAAGCTGCCACAAATAAAGACTTACCTGAAAATGTCCTCGACAAATTACTAAAACTGTGAAAAAAGGCACAGAAGCAGGCGTACGCTCATCATCGGCATCTAGAGTTGATGATGACCATGAAGACTTAGTGGAAGTGTCTAATTTAGTTGGTTTTAGTACCTAATATAACTTAAATAAATGAAGATGTCTTTAAATAATCGCATTTTTTCTTATTTCCTTTTACATTTACAGGATACAACTTAGCGGTATTTGGTGTATTTTAGAAAGCAAATTTTTGTAAAATATAGTGCAATTTTGATAAGAGTTTAGTACATCTTTTTTTCTTTATCCGGCAACACTGCTATTTGTCCATGTATACGTGAAGGACACCTCCCCCCGTGTCAGACTTATAGCGCGACTCGAATCTACCTACAAATTAAAGATATGTCGGATTACAAGGCGGGACGGATTAGCCAGGGGCCGGATTACCGGGGATTCACTGTAGATAATTTGCGGCAGTATTCAGTAGCTGTAGCCAAGGTCAAAATAGGACAAAAATACATTCTCCATCAACCATCTGAAAATACATTTATATCGACATTTTAATAAAATTAAACTCACCTTCTTGTTGGGTTTCTCCTTGCTTTTCATCTACGGAACTCAAGTCTGGTGGCTTTATCGATTCCGGATGTGTAGCTCCTGATGGAAACTCCGTCATCGGTGTCAAAAATTGCTCCTTCTGACCGCCATTGCTCTGATGTCCATTCTCCGAGTGATCGGACTGTATACTCAATTGTTGTGGTATCGATTCTTGGTTTTGAACAGAGGACTGAACAGAAGGCTGAGCAGATTGTTGAATTGGTGGCTGGGCAGAGGGTTGAACTGGAGGTAAGGCAGAGGGTTGAACTGGAGGTTGGGCAGAGGGTTGAACCAGAGGTTGGGCAGAGGGTTGAACAGATTGAATTGAGGGTTGAACTGAGGATTGAACTGAGGGTTGAACAGAAGATTGAATGGAGGGTTGAACAGAAGGCTGAACAGAGGGTTGAACAGAAGGCTGCACAGAAGGTTGAGCAGTAGGTTGAACAGATTGTTGAACTGATGACATCTGAGGAGCAGATGAAGGATGCACAGCAGGTTGAGCAGTAGGTTGAACAGATTGCTGAACTGATGACATCTGAGGAGCAGATTCTTGAACCATTGGAGGGTTTTGTTGTACAGATGTAGGAACAGAAGAATCTACTGCTTGGTAAGAAATATTCTGCAAGTTCTGGATGGACTGATTCTGCTGTTGGTACATTTGCAGAGGACTGACAGAATAATTCTGCACCGGAGTGCCTTCATGACTAGATATCTGCCTTTCACTCTGCTGAACTACATTAAAATTCTGTGCCCGTATGTTATGAGGTAGAGACTGGCCCTGTAGCAATTGCATTTGAGGATGATAGTGCTCCTCTTTCTTCTGAATTTGCATATCAATATAAGGGTTTTGGTACTGCATTTGATCAATAGACATTTGGGACTGTAGTGGAGGTTTCTGTTGATACTTTTCAGGCATTAATGTCTGCTGCTGGTCATGTACATCAGCTGTGCTAATCTGACTTTGTTCTGAACTCTGCCGTTGATACACTGGGCGTGGCGCTCTCATTATCTCTTCGACCTTCTGTTGCTGCTGCCCAAGTAGCTGTTGCTTCTGCGCCATAAGCGCTAAATTTTGCTGATCTATTATACTCTGTTGTGTCTGTATTTGCAGTTCCTGTTGAGCTAAATACTGTTGTTGTTGGAAGATCGTGTTTCGAAAATGTTGCGGCGATAGCGTCTGACCCGGTAGTTGCAACTGTTGTTGAGTTAGCATCTGTTGTTGGAGGACTAGCTGTTGTTGCGCCAGCATTTGCTTTTGCATATTCAACTGATGCTGGGCTTGAACCATTTGCTGTTGCGCTTGAGCTACTTGTTGTTGCTGAGCTAAAAGGGCCGGGTCAACCGCGGCCGATAGTATATTAGGCTGCATAAACTGTGGCTGATTCTGTTGGAAGTTAACGTTCTGACTAGCATGTTGTTGCATCTGAGATCCTAGAAAATTATTCATTTTCTGTTGTAGAGAATCCTGTTCCTGTTGAGACGTGGCGGCTAGAACGTCGATACTCTCTGTAGTAGGTTGCTGGCTAAAGGCAGGAGTTTGTTGTGTTTGCTGCATTTGCTGCACCACTTGTTGTTGTTCTGACTCTGAGTCCTTCCGCGACTGCAGCGAGTCGGGTCTTTGTATGATCTGCGCAAGGATATTCTGCAAGTTCTGTAAGGACGGGTCTAGGACCTGACCGGTAGCGAGATTCGGTTGTGGGCCGGCTATGATATTCTCTTGTGCCGTTAGCTGTTCCTCCAACTGTTTTTGTTGTATGGCAGCTGCCTGATGTGCAATAATGTTTTGCTGTTGTTGTATAATCTGTTGCTGCAACGCCTGATTTTGATTACTGATTTCGTTTATACCAAACTGTGTGTTAAGAAGGTTTGGTTGAAGTTGAGTTTGTGATGATACAGGCTCGAGCATCTGCTGGGCTTGATGTTCGATAAACTGGCCCTGTGCCGTCTGCTCCAACATTTGTTGATTTAAAAGATTCTGCTCCATGATTACTTGTTGTTTGATATTTTGTTCAAGCATGGCCTTTTGTTGTTGGAGTATATGCTGGTCGGGGGTTAGCGAGGGTGATATCCTAGACTGTATGAAATTATGCTGCAGGATCTTCATGGCAGTCTCTTCATTACTTATATGTTGTTGATATTGATGTTGCAGGAGATGTTGTTGGGCTTGAAGTAGTTGCGACTGTTGGTCTAGCCTGTAAAATATATTTTAATTTCCAAAATTAATATATAACAATTACATTCAGTTTTCTTGTCAAAATTAAATGTTATAAGTACTTTGCTCTTGATACATACTGTACGGCTGCTAGTCCAGGCTGTGATCCCACACCATTGACCAGACCAGCTTTCACTTGATCTACAGGGCCAGCTTGCTGTTGGTTTTGGATCATTTTCACCTGAAACCAAACAGTAAAAAATTAAGTCTCATTTTGAACGTGTATTAGTTAAACATCTAGCAAAAAATAAATAAAAGGTGCAATATTTTCAAAGAAGCATTTTTGTTAGTTGATTTACATTTAAAGTTATAAGACAGCATCATTTTAAGAGAATTAATTCTTAACAAAATAATGCCGGCTACGGCTAGAAAAAATAAATTTAACTGAAACTTTATCTGGTTAAATTATTGCCCTACCGTTTGATAGAGCTCCTTTCTGCCTAAGAGTCTGTCTGGGTAGGTTCTACCCTCTTATCTATGCTAGCACTTTTTTTAATTAATTGGCTTTACGGGTCTGGGTTCTAGCCCTTCTGAGATCTATTCTTTCGGAATCTTCATTTTATGTTCTTTTTCTTCACAATATGCTGATGCGTCACATTGCAAAGCCCTTGGGAGATTTTGACGACAGCTCAACCCAGCGGACAGTTGATGACGACAGCCACTCAAGTTCATAAGGCGCCCAAGCGATCAAAATAACTTGAGGTTTATATCGACATCAAAGCACTTGTTTCGTTGTTTTCTCTAATAGTTCACACGCGCGGACACTTAATTCACAAAATCGCATCACTTTTACGAATCAAAATCCACTTCAAACCATTATTCAAGCGACAAAACAGGAGTGACAATCCGTCTACGGCCAAGTTCCCGCCAAAACAAGTGCTAGCACTGCTGTGTTACGGTCTAAGGGTATAGAGAGCCAATTTAATTACAGACTGTGAGACCTTGAAGATGACAGCGCATCTGTAGCCTTCTTGGTGTGAAGTTGGCTGCAGGTGTCCAATAACTGCACTAGCCACCTGCTACTGGGTGGATTGAAGTTCGTTTGTCATTTCAGTTTTATAATAAGAAAGGAAACTCTAAAAAAATTGTTTATTAACAAAATTGATATTTAACAAAGATAACATTAATTTATATTTCAATGCCAATTGCTTGTGAGTCTATATGGCTATAGGAATGTATTGAGACCGACCTGTCTCAACTGCTGCTCGAGAAGTAACTGCTGCTGCCGGTTCTGCTCATTGATCAGCTCTTGATTAAACAGCATTTGGGCTTTCTTCTCACTCCTCTCTCTGCAAAATACTAATACTATTAGTGCCTATATTTTTGACTCTATCCCATAGTAGGTTGTATGAAATAATTAACTAACTTAGTAATGGCAAGAATAATTCACTAAAATGTATTGCTCGTACTTTGCCTTTCGGACGTGTTGTTTTATTAAAGCGTGTAATGCTCTAGAGCATTACACTTTGGTTATTAAGCCAGTTAATAATGCACTCTATATAAATATAGACTATATAAATATGTAAAGTTCCTATATTTACATTAGAGGGTTTAATAAAAAATATTATATCTCATGTCAGTGCATTCCTGGTTTTATATAGATAGGGTTGTTATTACGTAAACAATAATTTATTTATAAATGCATATTGAAATACAAAAATACTCATATCCCTTTAAAAATAACAAGTAATTAGTACCTATTATTTGTGATCTAATTAAATTTTAACCACAATAATACATATCTTTAAAGCACAACACTGTATTAAATATTTTTAACTGTAGACACTGTAAATTAAATCCTAGTCAATTTTTCTATTTGAAACTAGTAATTCATAAGCATATTTACATGATAGTTACGAATTTTGATTGTTAAAAACAACCTTCGCAAAGGGAAACCAAATTTGATTGCGAATATGATTGCAGATAAATTATTTAAATAAATAACGAATCAAGTCACGCAACGTCCTATTGCAGACCTACAATACATGTCATGTTATTATCCAGGTTACAGTAGCTATGGTTACACCCAATGGGAAAATATAGCACAAAGTTCAGTGGCGTCACTATGTTCACATTTACTTTTAGAAACATAATCCCAACAACATATAAATAAAAATATATAAATATTCACTACTACTCTGAGTAGACCACAATTACACGTATGCCCAAAGAATATACAAATCTCTATGTTTTGTACGCCTATTCAAGATAGGCTTTGTTTTAATCGGTACGTTCGTCATAAAGGAAGATTTGCCTGAAGTGTCTGAGTATTTTCGTTCAGTCATATGACGTGTTTATATTGCATGATACATTCAGAACTCGCCGGTAAAATTTATTCAAACATGTCATATAGTATAAAAATATAGAGTATGTGTAGGCAATGTTTGTTAAGAGGATATATTAAATATGAAGACGAAAAACATAAGCCCGACATATTTTATTATATATTTAATTTTTAAATGTTAAACTTTCTTCATGTTACATTGTAAAAATAAAAAAGTAAAATTATAGCCTACTACGTCCCACTTCAAGGTCTCCTCTTAGGATTAATTACAAGATGCTTATAAAAACGCTTATAATAAAATAAAAAACACCGAATTATAACGAACTGTTCTATTTACAAGAAGATATTAATTAACCTTACACAGCCATTAGGGGTTTCAAATCAATAGAAAATTTAACTGTGTGAAAAGGTTAGTTATTTTTATAGGAAGGGTGATAATTTGAGTGCTGTTTAAAAAATTTAGGGCATGCTATAAGCACGTCATGAACCTGACCTAGTACAAACAAGCAGCGCGCGGTCACAAGCATCAGTATCACAGTTATGCATCACGGATGACCCACTTGGCCTACTTGCGAAGCAGAGCACAACTTTAAGAAAACTGTAACACAGTCTGAAATAACAAGGCAGAAGGATTGTTCAATTGCGAGAACTACTGTTACTACATTACATGAATTTGGTATAACTTAAATTAAGCGCGTTAAAATAATTATTTTAACACAATTTATTTTATATTTGTAAATAAATCAAATAACGAAAACAAGACTGCACAATTTCTCACTAACATTATAGTATTTTCTTCAAAATAATTCGTAACGACGCTGCGCGTTATTAAAACTGTCAATCTCTATCTGCTTACATTCAGCAGTGATTGGATCGTAGCCAGACAAAAATCGACAATTATGTTTAAATTTTTACACTGACATAAAAAGTTTGCCAATTCGCATTAGAGCAGCGTGAAGGAGCTTCTCAGAATGAGAGATCTCTTTCCGCCAGTTGGATTTATATGCAAGCTTTAAATTTACTGAAGTTGTGGTAAATTGAGGCATTACTAAAAATAACTAGAATTATAACAGACTCTTTAAAATATGATTAAAAAACATTATAAAATTTTAAATTAGAAACAAACAAGGCAAAATGACACGATTTTCATAGAACGTCGTGTCGTGAAGTATATATACACTAAATATATTTTCGGAAATATAAAAAAGTTTCTGCTCATGATTATTCATGCAGACGTAAAAGCATGTATATGATAATGATCAATGACTTTTAACACAATTTTATCATATTATCAGTATTACTTATAAAGGCGAAGTTATAACATGAAATTTTGATTGAAATTAATTTTCAAAGATCAGTGATATTACAACAAATTAGACATTTCTCTGCTTCCACATACTAGAGATTATCATACAAACTATAAGAAATTCAACTGGCATGTTGTGTGATTTATTTAAATTTTTTTATAGGATATGGTGACAAACTAGCATACAGTCCACCTGATGGTAAGTGGTTGCTGCGGTCCATAGACATTTACATCTATCCTCGATTACAAATCAAAATGCAGATATGCGTTGTCACCCGTGAGGACTAAGATGGAATGTCTCGTTTCCAGTAAAATGGGTTTCCAGTTCTCTACACTCACCATACGAAACACAGCAGCATTAAGCTACTATAATACGCTGAGACAAAATGTAAAACATGCTTGATTCCCTTTTTACGCACAGTTCACTTTTCGTGTTCAGTCTTTTTCGTTTCATCACTTGTGAAACCCATAAGTACATAGGCTAACGATAAATTGACATAAAAACATCTTCTAACTTTGTGAATTTACTTCTGTATCTTTTTTTTTCAGCACAATTTCAAAAACAAAAAATGTCTCACTAAGAATACTTACCTCTAAACATTTACAAGTACTTAATCATTTCACCGCTTAAAATGGATTTCATTTGTCTTCAAATTTTAAAATCAACAACATTTGTTACTATTTTTAATAACACTTATAAAAAGGTAGAGTAAACAAAATAGAAAGCACAGTCTAATATATGTTAAAATGCAAAGATCTTCAATCGTATAGTGCAATAACTAGGCTATACTATTGCGTATACATAAGTTAACATGGCGTCACAGCAATTAATGGCGCGCAATGAAGCGTCGAAATTAACGATTGAACCCTTACTATATTATGCAAAATGTCAGCAAACACATTGTAGTTATTGAGAAATAATTAAAAAAAAATCCCAACTTCTCTTTTTAACCTCGTTAATTCTGTACAATCGCATGTTTAACATTATCGGTATATCGCGGCATGTAAGTAGTCGTATCAGTCACTAAACGGGCGAGACACGTGTCTACTGAGTCTGCAGCTTTACAGTCGAAATCATACTTTCAAAGCACAAATGATTAGTTTTAACTGGCTTTAAAATAAGAGTAAGTTCAAAATGTATACTGATTGTGGCCTATAAAGATACACACCGAAACTCCACAACGACAGGCAGCAAATGGTTTTAATTTACTACATTTAAATTTATTCAATTCTAATCAAATCCAATTCTAATTTAATCCTAAAGATGTCTCGAAAGCAAAGACCGACGAAAGGTATACAGTTAATAATGCGTCCATTTTATTTTAGTTATGATATGTTTATCAACGTATGATAAAATCGTAATAATATGCAGTAAGTAGATAATAAAAGGCCACAAACATTCGCATAAATGCTCCACATAACTAATTTTGTCATTATCTATACAACTCCGATAAATACTTTATTTAAGTAATTTATAATGTAGATTGTAGTCTAAGTTTTTCAAGATAACAAAAGATTGAGTATAACTACGAACTCTGTTATCACAATTCAGACTAAAAATACTATAGGCGTACAATAGAAAGTGAGCTTGAGCATGTTACTGATAACATTTACTTCGTAAGTGAACGCTTTCAAGACGTGAGATTATAAACTTTTTCTAAGCTTGAAATCTCTTCCTACAGAACTCTTCATCATGAGCACCTTGAAATTCTTGTGCTACAGCGACTACTGCTACATCATCTTCAAATTACTATCCTCGCAGGTACTCCTTCAATCTTGAAAATATATTTATTTATTTTATTTATTTAAAACTTCATATACACAAGTGGTATATAGGCGGACTTAATGCCTAAGGCATTCTCTCCCAGTCTACCTTGGGATGATGCAGAGATAGAATAAGTAGGTATAATAAAAAGTTAATGTGCGAATACTAAAATAAAATAACAAAAAAAAAATTGTAATACATGGAAATAAAATACATAAGATATAAATGGTACATCGCAAAAAATAGATAAAATTACATTAATATTCATACACATATATGTATATAAAATAAATAATATACATAATTACAATAAGAACAATAAGAATATATATATATACACATATAAACATACATATATACATATATATATATATATATATATATATATATATATATATATATACATATACATACATACACACACATACATACATATATACACATATACATACACATACACATGTACAACCAGTGCGTGTTGCCAGTGATGACTTACGGATCAGAGACGTGGTCCTTCACTGCTGGCCGTATGAGGAAGCTGGTTCTGCCATTGATGAGGATGATGATTCTGCCAATTTATTAAGTAAGTGTTCCCGAACCTTCATCTTGAACGCGTACCGATTGCTAGCCGTCCTGATTTCGAGAGGGAGTGCGTTCCAAAGGAGAATAGATCGAATGTGGAAAGAAGAATGAACAAGTCCAGAGCTATGGGATGGACATAGGAGAAGAAGGTTGTTCGTAGAGCGGAGGTTTCTCTCATGACTAGCACTAAGCAACTGAAAGTGAGGAGATAAGTAGGAAGGGGAAGTTGGAGACATCAGGATAGAATAAAGGGTGGTGAGTGCACGCAAACTACGGCGTTGACGAATAGGTAACCATTTTAATTGAGATCGATACGTGGATACATGGTCATACTTTCGAAGATTGAAAATGA